TGTTGCAAAGCATATGTAGCATTTTTTTGCCTGCCAGATGAAAAAGTCAAAGAAAATGGCAAGTTTGCATGCAAGCTGAACTTGGTTTTAACAGCCAAAATACGGAGTTGAAATCTGTCGGTGATCCATTCGAATGGAAAGCACCTTGACAATTGCAGGTTTGCCTTGGTGTAAAATGAATTCAAAGATAGATGTTTGGCAAATAAACAAAGTTTTGAGGGGGAAAAGCTAACTGAATTGCATCTCCAACACAGTCATATAGCTGACAGAAGCAACCTTGTCTGTGAAGAAAGATGTGGTACAAATGTTCTTTATAAGAACAAGAACAGATGAGAACAAAATTGCAAAATCCACTAGCCCTGGGCTATCGCTCATGACTCTTTTTTCAGGCTGATTGGAAACATGTTTTGTTTTTTAGGATGTTACAGTCACCAATGATGGTGCAACAATACTAAAGTTGCTGGAAGTTGAACATCCTGCAGCTAAGGTTCTCTGTGAGCTCGCTGATCTTCAGGATCAAGAGGTTGGAGATGGTACAACCTCTGTTGTCATACTTGCTGCAGAACTCCTGAGAGGTGCTAATGAACTTGTGAGACAGAAAATTCACCCGACGTCTATCATAAGTGGCTACAGATTAGCTTGCAAGTAAGTAAAGGCACCAGTTTGCGTGGGTAAGTTGAGTTTACTAAAGATTTTTGTCATCATCTCAAACTGAATGATGCAAACTAGAAATTGCTGTCAGACTTAATTTTTGCTGACTATTAATTTCGTTAATTAATTTCAAAATATTTAGCTGATAAATAGGTGCGGTTTCACACATTAATAAAGTTAATGAAGCCATGGTAAATTTTAACGTGGGTTTAGTTTACTGTGGTAACGTATGGTTACACATGAATTAATTCCCAAGTGGTCATTTACCACGATAAAAGTGTCCCTGTGTAACTGCACCTAATAATGACTGTCTTAAATATCTGGTCTGTTTAGTCATCATGTCTCAATTCGGGAAGGATTTTGTCAGATATAGACAAACATTAGTGGTATGTTGTCCAATGACAGACTATTATTATTTGGAGGTTGACATGATGTCATGGCGGCCATGTTAGTGTTCCAAAAAATGAAACGGCGGCCATGTTGGTGTATCAACTCCAATTCCTGTGGGAGTTGAATTCTTTTCTTATGCAAATGCTTTCTTTTGTTCCAATAAATTTGCATAGAGGCTGGCCGGGTGAGTAAAAACATTTGTATAATAACAAGGGTAGCTAGTACTAAAGGCGTGAGATCACATGTAAATTATTTCTGACTTTACTGAGAAGGTCGATAAATGATAGGATCCTAACCCTGGATAAGCAAAGATGCAATGTTTTGATTTGATCTTTCTTATTCTTTAGAGAGGCATGCAAATATATCCAAGAGCACTTGACTATCAATGTTGATGAGCTGGGCAAAGAAAGTGTCGTAAATGTAGCAAAGACATCTCTGTCATCAAAACTGATTAGTCAGGCATCTGACTTCTTTAGTGAGATGATTGTCAATGCCGTCATGGCAGTCAAACGAGCTGGGAACAAAGGAGAAGCTAAATACCCAATCAAGGCTATTAACGTCCTCAAGGCACATGGAGGAAGTGCTAAGGAAAGTGTTCTCGTAGACGGATATGCTCTTAACTGCACCATAGCTTCACAAGGTATGGACATGAAGAGACTATAAAGGGCTCAACATAATTTTATGTGAGAGTTAAGTCATAGCGCTCAATATGGTGTGCGCTCGTTCTTTAGAACAATGGCTGAACCTCCATTTGAGAGTACCTGTCATAAGCTGGGGCCATGTAGTATACAAAATGCTAAATTCGGTTTTCCTAATCCAAGCACTACAGCTGGAGCCTTGCATAAGCAACTACCAAGTCTTAAAGGCAGGTTTGATAGATTGATTCCAGAATAAGAGTAAATTCTAAGCATAAACTCTAGAAATCACTTGTTGTAACATTGCAACATCAAGAAATCCTCTGGAAATAAAATATTAAGATGCATGTAGCATTCAAATGGTTCCAAACATCATGCTACATGTAGAAGAGATTGCAACAAAGTTTTTGTTTCCATCTGCAATATCTTCCATTACAATCAATAGCACCCTTACTTTAGCAGTTTAGATCATTGTGTATTGGGGATCAACTATATTAATTTTCCCTATTTATGAATAAAAAATTTCAGCAGTATTTGAACGGAATGTGTTTGTTTTGCGTTGATTTGGGGTCTCTCATGTCTTTTTTCTACAGCGATGCCTAAGCGAATAGAAAATGCAAAAATAGCCTGTCTGGATTTTAGCTTACAAAAAGCTAAGATGCACCTAGGAGTGAGTGTTGTTGTAGAGGATCCAGAGAAGCTAGAAGCCATTAGACAGAGGTAATTGTCATTGGTGTAACGGTTAATTGAATTCACGATTCTTTGCTTCCACGTTTGGATTTTGGTTTGATTTTTGCACACCTTTTCCAGGGTACCTTCAGTGA